TGTAATATGTTCATTATCTAAAATTTTAATATTAAATTCTCAAATATTACTTATAATATTATATGTACATCTGTGCATGATTGGCACATATATTTTTTTTTCTAAAAATCAAAAACACCAATAATTTTTTTTTTTATTTATGTTAATTTTCTTAATATATGCTACAAATATATAAATTATTTTATTCATGTTACTACTTACTAATATAAACGTTGCATGGTTAAAATACAATTTAAATCTCAATTGATTTTGAATGATAAAAATAACTTAAGAAAACATAATAATTTTTATATGATAGAAACACATGTCTAATTAATAAATACAAACAAAAACATAAATTTTGACTCCAAAAATAAAATCTTTAGTTGGCGGAACATAAATTCCAGTTTCAAAAATCATATCAAATGCGCCACTATTATATAGTTCATATATTTTCCAGTTATCAAAATATTTTCAACTAATCATGCTCTTGATTTGTTGGTATTTACACTAATTAGTTAATAGACTTATGTAGGTGCTTATAAATAAAATAAAAATCAGACACATTTTCACTTTGCATTCCACACTCATAATCACAGTCACCGAAAAAACTATTTCGACACAACATATTTCTTTTGAGTTCCAAATGGCAGTGCAATTTGGTAATATGATTTTCTTGGCTAAGAACAAGAAAAAAAACTACAATATTGCGATTGATTCGATTTTAGTCAAAGAAATTTTCGACAAACAAAGAAGTAACTACTGGGCTGAAATTTGTTTTTCATGATGTAAGGCATGTATAAATTAAAAGCATGTCTACAACGGCTAAACCAAATCAGAATCGATCCAAGTATTTGTCTCCGATAAATAAAAAAAAGATTAAAAATGAAGAAAAAACGACGAAAATGTTGCAGGTGGTAGGGTTTTAGGCATTAAATACCTGTCTCTACCACTTTGTTGAATGCTCTACATTTGTGTGGTGGATGAAGCTTTGACCGTGCTATATGGGTCCATGCATTTGGATT